GAGGAGCTGAACAGGAGATTTAAGGAAGTTTTCACAGTAGAGACAGGAAGGGCTGTGGGAAGACAGCACAGAAGGGAACATCAAGAGGGAATATACCAACAAGTGTTGGATGACATACGAACAACTGAGGAGGAGGTGAAGAAGCTCCTAAGTGACCTTGACACCTCAAAGGCGATGGGACCGGACAACATCTTCCCCTGGGTCCTTAGAGAAGGAGCAGAGATGCTGTGCGTGCCTCTAACCACAATCTTCAACACATCCCTTGAAAATAAGCAACTACCTGAGAAATGGAAGACAGCTAATGTAATCCCCATATATAAGAAAGGAAACAGAAACGAGGCACTAAACTACAGACCTGTGTCTCTGACATGTATTGTGTGCAAAGTCATGGAGAAGATTATCAGGAGGAGAGTGGTCGAACACCTGGAAAGGAACAAGATTATAAATGAAAACCAGCATGGGTTCATGGAAGGCAAATCCTGTATCACAAACCTCCTGGAGTTTTATGACAAGGTAACAGAAGTAAGACACGAGAGAGAGGGGTGGGTAGATTGCGTTTTCCTAGACTGCAGGAAGGCCTTTGACACAGTTCCCCACAAGAGATTAGTGCAGAAGCTGGAGGATCAGGCGCTTTGTAACAGGGAGGGCACTGCAATGGATCGGGGAATACCTGACAGGGAGGCAGCAACGAGTCATGGTACTGAAGAGGTATCACAGTGGGTTTCCTGTGACGAGCGGGGTCCCACAGGGGCCAGTTCTAGGACCAGTGCTATTTTTGATATATGTGAACGACATGATGGAAGGAATAGACTCTGAAGTGTCCCTGTTCGCAGATGATGTGAAGTTGATGAGAAGAATTAAATCAGATGAGGATGAGGCAGGACTGCAAAGAGACCTGGACAGGCTGGACATGTGGTCCAGTAACTGGCTTCTCTAATTCAATCCAGCCAAATGCAAAGTCATGAAGATTGGGGAGGGGCAAAGAAGACCGCAGACAGAGTATAGGTTTAGGTGGACAAAGACTACAGACCTCACTCAGGGAGAAAGACCTTGGGGTGACCATAACACCGAGCACATCACTGGAGGCACACATCAACCAAATAACTGCTGCAGCATATGGGCGCCTGGCAAACCTGAGAATAGCGTTCCGATACCTTAATAAGGAATCGTTCAAGACACTGTACACTGTATGTTAGGCCCATACTGGAGTATGCAGCACCAGTCTGGAACCCACACCTGGTCAAGCACGTCAAGAAGTTAGAGAAAGTACAAAGGTTTGCAACAAGGCTAGTCCCAGAGCTCAGGGGAATGTCGTACGAGGAAAGGTTGAGGGAAATCGGACTGACGACACTGGAGGAAAGAAGGGCCAGGGGAGACATGATAACGACATACAAGATACTGCGGGGAATAGACAAGGTGGACAGAGATAGGATGTTCCAGAGAGGGGACACAGAAACAAGGGGTCACAACTGGAAGCTGAAGACTCAGACGAGTCACAGGGACGTTAGGAAGTGTGTTTGTAGATGAATGGTTCAGAGAACCGACATGTTGATAAATTAGACACATGTGCAACTCTTGGGTATCTTTATTGAGGAAACGTTTCGCCACACAGTGGCTTCATCAGTCCATACAAAGGAGAATCTTGAAGAACAGGAGGAGAATGAGGTAATCAGTCCCTCAACCTTGAGTCGATGTGGTCAGTCTATCAATTTTGAATAGAATACGGTATACGTGCGGAGAAGGAGCTTATAAACCGTTGGTAGGAGAGGTGCAGCAGTCATAGGTGGTGTCACATTTGTTCAATGTGGAAGTAGGTCGTGCCCAAGAATTAGGCAAGCGAAGAATTCCCAAGTACATATTAAGATCCCAAGAAGTTGCAGTGTCTGACAGGTTGATGGACTAACCACATCGACTCAAGGTTGAGGGACTGATTACCTCATTCTCCTCCTGTTCTTCAAGATTCTCCTTTGTATGGACTGATGAAGCCACTGTGTGGCGAAACGTTTCCTCAATAAAGATACCCAAGAGTTGCACATGTGTCTAATTTATGAACGTTAGGAAGTATTTCTTCAGTCATAGAGTTGTCAGGAAGTGGAATAGCCTAGCAAGTGAAGTAGTGGAGGCAGGAACCACACATAGTTTTAAGAAGAGGTATGATAAAGCTCAGGAAGCAGAGAGGACCTAGTAGCGATCAGTGAAGAGGCGGGGCCAGGAGCTGAGTCTCGACCTCTGCAACCACAATTAGGTGAGTACAATTAGGTGAGTACACACACACACACGCACACACACACACGCACACACACACACACACACACACACACACACACACACACACACACACACACATCCTCCTCCTGACCAAAATGACTATGAACATAAAATTGCCTAACAAATCTCCAGCTAGTGCTAAGTTTGCCTGAGATACTCCAGTATAAGAGCTTAAATAGAAACTGTGTATCATGCCAAGACAAAACCATTCTCATTATTAATTTTGCAATTTGTTATATTCTTAAATGTTCTGAACTACCTTATTATTGTACGTAAATCCATTTAATCATTTGTAATTTGTAATATAGAATAAGAATTATTATTAATAGTGCCTGAAATGCCTAGGCTTGCTAGGCATGCTAGTGGTCTTCTTTGGAAGTGTTGTTTTATATGTAAACCACCGGAAGTGTTGTTTTATATATAAACCACCTATTACAATCTTTACAGAGAAATAAACATTTCAATTTCAACTTCAATGATGACTTGCAGATGAAGCTTTTGGTCATCTGACCAAGGCCTTCCACCGGCTTACTCCTCTACCCTTTTAAAAATTATGGTTATGATTATAACTATTTATATATACATGCATTGTCAAAATAAAACTTATGCAGCCCAATAACAATGCAAAATTTGCATTCTGGAAAACGCATCAGGGGGAGGAAATGATAAGCCAATCAAAAGAACTGTACAGTTAGAGCAAAAATTACATCGATTCTAAGTTTTCATTTTTAAGCTATTTTGGTAAACTTGGAAATTTTTAGCTATTCTGGTATATTGGGAAATTTTTGATTACTCTGGTATATTTGGAAATTTTTGACTATTTTTGTGGAAAATTGCATTTATCTGTATGTATAATTATGTACATAACAGTAAATGAACATAGATAATTATTATTTATCAGTTAGACAAGTAGGAATTTGGGACACCTAGGTCGCAAAAAATGTCCCCCTTCGATACCTACCACTGTCATATCCACAAGTTGCTCTGGACCTATTAATTAAATGAAATATACATCAGGGATTCTGATAAACATATAAATTTGTGGACTGTATATTAAAAAATGGTTATATATAAATTCACATATACATAACAGAAGGAAAATATATCTTAATATCACTCACCAATTTGACTGGATATTAAGTTGTATCATACTCAGAAAAACCTCACTAACTAAATTTCTGAAAACACTGGCCAGAATTATACACAAATCTAGAGAGCTTATCTGAGGTTCATGGAGCTGTCTTGTCTAGTCGTCTGATATCTCAAGTTATGCAGGAATGCACATCCAACAATTTCGCCTCCTATTTGAGAGGTGTCAATCCAATTTTAACCTCTAGAGCACGAAAAATTCTTCCCATTATATTAACGTTGTATCCAATTCAAAACCAAGATGGCGTGTCCCCTCCTGCGCAGGCGCAGGCGCAGGCTCAGTTTCCCATTTTCCATCACATATATTTTATTAAATACAGTATGGCTATCTATTTACATATAAATACTGAATTTCTGGAAAATATATACAGTATTTTCCACAATTCTGGTATATTGGGAAATTTTTGGCTATTCTGGAATATTGGGAAAAATTTTTGGCTATTCTGGTATATTGGGAAATTTTTGGCTATTCTGGTATATTGGGAAATTTTTGGCTATTCTGGAATATTGGGAAATTTTTGGCTATTCTGGTATACTGTATTGGGAAATTTTTGGCTATTCTGGTATATTGGGAAATTTAAATAAAATTAGTAGAATCCTATCTATAAGATGCATCAACTATTACGTATGGATGCCATTCACAAAGGCACAGCAGCTCCTTATGACCCTAGTGGGTTTAGCGCCTAGTTATGACTGTAATAAAAAATGGCACACTCAATTATACATGATGTAATTTAAAAAAAATTTCACCTTGTTTTCGCGCATAAAATTTTCAAAAATGAGTCGTGCAGACTCAATAACAATATAAAACATAAAAAAAGGTGTGATCTAATTAAGGTCACACCTTTTTTATAAGTTTTTTATTTTTTTATTTTTTTTGAGGCCAATCAGAAGATATGAAGTTATCGTGAGTAATGACAATTTCAGGAATGGACTATATAATGTTGATCACAGGGCTCCTGCGAGGGTCAATATTTGCATGAGCCCTCGACCCCTACGGTACAGTAAAACCACTCTTTAAAGTTTGAAGCTGATCGAATGAGGCGTTCTCAAGTCCTAAAGAAAAAAAAAACCAAGCCCCTCATGATGCTGAAGGGCTCTTAATCTCAGGAAATGGATCTGTGCTCTAGTTCCTTGAACTGAGCCTTCAACAACCCCCCCCTACCGGCGCTGTATAATCCATACGGGTTTAGCGCTCCCCCATGATAAGATAATTTTATAAACGAAAATTCTGAGGAAAAATAAACAATTCGAGCAACCACTCGAAAGTGTCCCTTAGGAATGCATAATAATCATAATTAAACAAATTAAAAAAAATCCTTGTATCAGCAGTGAACGCGATAATTTTATCCTGAATATCAATGTCTCTATTAGCATAGTGATAGTAACTACTTAGTCTCGAAAGAGTGGAGGGAGACGCAATGCCACTCCCTCTCTCTCTCTTCATCTCCCCCCCCCCCTCTCTCTCTCTCTTCATCTCCCCCTCTCTCTCTCTCTCTTCATCTCCCCCCTCTCTCTCTCTTCATCTCCCCCTCTCTCTCTCTTCATCTCCCTCTCTCTCTCTCCATCTCCCTCTCTCTCTTCATCTCCCCCCCTCTCTCTCTCTCCCTTCCTCCCTGCCTCCCAGTCTTATCAGCAGACTACCACCTTCGCTGCAGCCACCCCACTCCTGCGCACCTCTTCAACTCGGCCACTATCTACCCCACGTATTCGCAAGTATCCTAGCCATCTTCCAAGTTAGTGCCATCTGCAGCCCCAACACCAGCTGTGTAACTCACACATGCACTAAGGCACAGTTTCTCACCTCAATAATACTTGCTTGCGTCTCTGACACGTGTCAAATTGTTTGTGTGTGTGTGTGCGTGTGTGTGTGGGGTTGAAGGTGGGAATAATGACTGGAACTGTTTCAGTTTAATAAAAACATATAACTACAAACAGTGGTTTAACGACAAGTGGTTAACGACTACAAGCGGTGATTTAATGACTAAGATCGATAGTTAAATGACTATAGATGGTATTAATCACCTACATGCTGTATATAAACGATTACAAACAGTAGCTTAACAGCTACAAGCAATAGTTAACGACCACATTCAGTAATTAAACAAACATTACCGGTCGTTAAATAACTCAAGCTATTGTTTAACGGTGACAAGGTGAAAGTAAACGAATACAGGTCGTAGCTAACCGATAAACGACCAAAACAAACAGTTACACTACGACAAGCAATAAACGACTACAAGTGTTGGTTGAGCCACATCAAACTGCTTGTTCACAAAGGCCTAGTCAACAAGATGGGTTGTATCAGCAAATACGGTCTCTTCCTCGTCAACTCTGCCATCATAGTAAGTGCCAACAGTTTTTTCTAAATACCAACATTATCATTAGTGCCAACATTACCACTAGTGCCAGCATTACCACTAGTGCCTACATTACCACTAGTGCCAACATTACTGCTATTGCCAACAGTATATTATAAAGTTTATTCTAGGACCCAAAAATTTTGTAAGAAAAATTAAACAGTTTATACTTACTAATACTGCATAATGACTCCATCTTCTTTCTTAAAAAAAAATTTAAAGATAACCTATAACTGATAAAGATAAGACAAGAGCTGATAACTAATAACAAAATAAGTGCAATATGTAAATTCCTTCGTCTAGGTATTGCTGTGTACCTTATGTATATATTATATATATATATATATATATATATATATATATATATATATATATAATATATATATATATATTTGTGTGTGTGTGTGTGTGTGTGTGTGTGTGTGTGTGTGTGTGCGCGCGCGCGCAGGGATTGTACTTTACACCTCTAGGACTCAAGCCCAGCTTATCAGTTTCTCTGAATCCCTTCCTTCCACACACTGTTGGTCATCCTATTCTGCTCCATTCTTTCTAAATAACCAAACCATCTCTACAGCCTCTTCTCTTTTTTAATACCTTCAGTAACTACACACAGTCTAAGATGATGAGGAGGTACTTATACCTCCTCCCTTGGCAGACATTTGTCTGACACACGACAGGGAGCCAAGGCCGGGGCCACCTCTTGGAAAAGGCTGGGGCAGGGCGATTATACCGGCGAATCTACAACAGCAGCAGCAGCAGCATGCAGTCTTCTGTTTTCCATGCTTCGAATTCTTTGCATAATATTCACACCACACACTGTTCTCAAATATGACATCTCTACTATCTCCAGCCTTCTTGCTGCAACATTTACAACCCATGCCTCACACCTATATAAAAGTGTTGGTACCTCTGTACTCAGGCACATTCCACTTTTTGCTTCCATAAACTTATTTTATTCCACAGACGCCTTAACATTTCAACCTTTTCCCCTTATCTATTATATGGTTCGCCTTCTCTTTCATACACTCATCTGCAACGCGTCCACTCCCAAATAGTTAAATATATTCACTCTCTCCATACAACCTTCCTTCCAATCTGATATCCAATTTTTCAATGTCTAATGTTTTTGTGACCCTCGTAGCAAACTATATCATGCACCTCCCTCTTTCTCCCCTCCCTCCCAATAGTGACTGTGGTGTGGTGGTAACCTTTCCTCTGTATTTTCCCTCTGTCTCCCCAACAGTTCCCTAGGGATGACTGTGGTGGGGGTGGTAACCTTTCCTCTGTATCTTCCCTCTATCTCCCCAATATTACCTTGGGGTTACTGTGGTGGGGGTGGTAACCTTCCCTCTCTCCCCCGAACAGTTCATGGGGGTGACTGTGGTGGGGGTGGCAGCAGCCATCCTTCAGCAGGACACGCTCTTCGGAGTGCTACTCAGTAAAGTGTTTTACAGTGTGCCACTGAGTGCTCTCATCGCTGGTCTCTTCCTGACCTTCCTTGGGGTGCTGGGATGCTGGGGAGCCCTCAAGGAAGACACCTGCATCCTCAAACTCGTGAGAACCCACTCTCTTTTGCCATTTTTCTTTTCCAGGAATCAAGAGTTATGACGGAGGATCGAGCCTCCTCCAGTTTATACACAAACCCACACGAATTTATCGTTGAAGGTGACAAATCTGTGAGTTTATACGTAAATTACTACTTCGTTGTAGACACAAATAACTCGAACACGGAAGAGAGAAAAGCTCATCACGACATTTCGGTCCGACTTGGACTATTCACAAGTCACATTGTAAATAGTCTAGGTCAGAGCGAAACGTCGTCATGAGCTCCTCTCTCCTGTGTGTGGGTTATGTATTGTTCCAGTCACGGTATTGTGCCTTTTTGTCCTTTACTTCGGTGTTTACTTTTAGATATTTTTCCTGGGTACATTATACACGTGACAATTGATCCAACGATCCAACTGATCCAATATCCTCTTCAGTGTTGCAAGAGTTCTCCATTTCTGCCTCATTAAGAGAGATAAATACTGGACACATCTAGATCTAGAAATTCTCTCAGCTTTCTATACAATACACTGATTAATTTTGCATTATATATGATGGGGTATAAATGTGTAATTAGATAACAACATTCGCGTGTACTTAAGAACAATTGTGTTAAATAATCCAGGAAGCCAAAAGTACATATGAATTAATTGTTTGAATAATAATAAAGGAGTTTTTAAAATGTAGTAAACTGTTTTGTCTTTTCGACTTAAGAAAAAAACGTATTAAAACACACACACACACACACACACACACACACACACACACGCACACACACACACACAAGCACGTCAAGAAATTAGAGAAAGTGCAAAGGTTTGTAACAAGACTAGTCCCAGAGCTAAGGGGATTAGCCTATGAAGAAAGGCTAAGGGAAATTAGCCTGACGACACTGGAGGACATGAGGGTCAGGAGAGACATGGAAACGACATATAAAATACTGTGAGGAATTGAGAAGGTGGACAAAGACAGAATGTTCCAGAGATGGGACACAGAAACAAGAGGTCATAATTGGAAGTTGAAGACTCCTATGAGTCAAAGGCATGTTAGGAAATATTTCTTTAGTCACAGAGTTGTAAGAAAGTGAAATAGCCTAGAAAGCAACGTAGTGGAGGCGGGAACCATACATAGTTCTAAGACAAGGTTTGATAAGGCTCATGGAGCAGGGAGAGAGGACCTAGTAGCAAACGGTGAAGGCGGGAACCAGGAGCTATGAATCGACCCCTGCAACCACAAATAGGTGAGTACACACACGCATATACAACAGGCCTAGTGTCTAATCGACATGTGCTAGGACAAAATGGTAACACACACACACACACACACACACACACACACACACACACACACACACACACACACACATACATACATATATACATACATACACACACACACACACACACACACACACACACACACACACACACACACACGATGTAGTGGAGGCAGGAACTATACGTAGTTTTAAGACGAGGTATGATAAAGCTCATGGAACAGGGGGACAGAGGACCTAGTAGCGGTCGGTGAAGAGGCGGGGCCAGGAGCTGAGTCTCGACCCCTGCAACCACAATTAGGCGAGTACACACAGAAATATCGCAGCGCTTTCGTCAGTGAAGGTGCGCGCGTATACTTCCGCAGGAATCTAAGTCATATAATTTCTGTTTTTTTTCCACGTGTTCTTGGTGTTGCTGGCGTGTGTGTGTGTGTGTGTGAGCAGTACGCTGTGATCGTGGCTATGTTGCTGCTGCTGGTGGTGACGGTGGGGGTGATGCTGCTGGTGTTCACTGCTGGCACTGCTGCCTTCCTCATCAGTAACATGAAGATCATCTTCAACGAGTATGGCGGAGAAGACGAACACATAACTAACGATATCGACTTCATCCAACATAACGTAAGTTTTAACATATTCAATACCCGGGAGTTAAAAACTTTATACCAAGGTATTAAAGAAGTTTATATCAAGGTATTATTTTTAGTACCTGGTATTACATAATTTAACATCCCGAGCATTAAAGAAAATATCTATTAAAAATTAATATTTGGATTAAAAAAAAAATATGACGAAAAATCTAATACAAAGAATCCAAAGATTCCATTTTTTTCTCATCTACTTTCAACACGTTGACAAATTTTCCCTCAGATACGCAAAATTTAATTGTGCGCTATTCTGGCCCTGAGATAAATCAGCCATTAAACACTAACGTCATTCTGAAGACGGATTTAACGGGAATAAAAATATCACTTTATTTTACATTTAAAATTGGCAGGTGTGCATTTATAACACTGTATTTCACTCTCCACCGTAGTAGAATTAAGAGGCAACTTTCTTGAAAGTTTGAAGCCAGGCTGCAGAGGATTGTGGAGGTTATCCCAGCCATACCAGGATAACTAACTTTATTCAGGCACAGGTAGACACAAGTACAATTATCATACATAGTGTAAATTATCTAGTATAACCCCCGAAAAAAGTCAGAATAACTTATATGTTATTTAAACCTGAGAATGGGTTCAATAATTTTGGTCACGGGGCACCTGGACAAGCCAACTGTTCCAAGAATCTGGCCCTAGTGACCCTACACCGGCGTTGAAAATCTGAAGCTGATCGGATAAGGCGTTCTCGAATTATCAGCGAAAGAAAAATAAAAAGTGTGTGTGGGGGGGAAGAATGAAAAAAAGTCGGGCAGCCACTTTAAGGTTCCAGTCAGAGATTAATAATAATAATATAATACTACTACTAATAGTATAATAATATTATATTATAATAATAATAATAATAGTAATAATAATAATAATAATAATAATAATAGTAATTATAAAATAATGATAATAACTAGATGTATTTAGTCCATAAGATGTAACCTTCAAAAATGTTATATATATCAGAGTAGCAACAAAAAAATATAGTATAACTAGTTTGATATTAAAAAAAATCTGCCTCGTAATAATGATGAGTGGCAATGTAAGATTATCAAAAACTAACTAACTTTCGGTATTAGTTCCGATTATACCAAATACCGCATTTTCCGGCATATAAGACGTGCATTTTTTCCCCATAAAAGAAGGTCTTGGAAAATCAGCCTGCGCCTTATATGCTCAAGTTCAGGGACAAGGGTAGACTTTAGGGTTACACTTTAGAGTAAAGTAAGGGGGGGGGAGATATTAACTCTTGAATATATTGATTTACAGTTGTAATACGTCTGTAGTGCGCCTTATATGCCGGTAAAAGACTGTAATTGATTTTCGCTTCGTGGTTGTAACAGACTCACTGTTGCGGTATCTACGGCTACAAAGATTGGGTCGACTTCAACTACGGAAACGGGACCAGCGTTGCGGACGGGTGTTGCAAGAACGAGACTGTGGGCTGCGGCGTGGACCTACTGGAAAACCCAAATGTGGAGGATCTGGTATACACCGCGGGCTGCCTCGTCTTTCTCACTAGCGCCTTCAACAGCGTGTGCATTGCTCTGGGTGTCATCACTCTCATCCTGGCCGGCATCCAGGTGAGTTCAGAATGATCTTCCACACCGGTGTACTAACGCAAGAGCGCAGCGAACTCGGGTCACTGACGCAAGCGAATCCACACCGCGCGCAACGGAAGCTTTACGTATTAGAGCTGTATATCCCAGACTCTGGTTTAAAAAGACACGTGAGCCAAATAACTAAATGGTTATAACTATGACCATAACTTTTTAAAGAGGTGGACTGGTAAGCCAGCGGAGAGCCTCGGTCAGATGACCAAAAGCTCCAAAGGCGGGTCATCGCATGACTAAGACCCACGTCAGGAAACACTTGTTCTGTTTTCTGACGAACCTTACCTAACCTAAACTAACTTGAGCCAACACTAGACCATATCTGAAAACCTGCCAATTTAACGTTTTCTGATAAAAACGTCCCATTGTTCACTCACATGTCATTCATTCATTCATGTTGATTCGCCGGTACTTCCGGCTCGGGTCTTCTCCAGATGGTGACCCGGCAGCTCACGTGTCTTTCTATACCAATTTGTCGGTATCTATTACCAAGGTTCATACCATCCCAGCCTCTGTATTAAGCCAGAATATAGACGTATAAAATTAAAAAGCACCATACAGTGACCGGAAAAATACACATATAACCCACACATAAGAGACAGCAACGTATGACGACGTTCCGGTCCGACTAACACCATTAACTAGTCACTATGAATATAAATGAATGGTTCAGAGAACCGACAAGTTGATGGACTGATTACATAGACTCAAGGCTGAAGGACTGATTGCCTCAAAATGCCTCCTGTTCTTCACCATTCTCCTTTGTATGGACTGATGAAGCCACTGTGTGACGAAACGTTTCCTCATTAAAGATACCCAAGTGTTGCACATGTGTCTAATTTATCAATATGAATGGTATACAATACCGACCAAATGAAAATTAGACACATGTGCAACATCTGGGTATCTTTATTGTAGACGTTTCGCCATCCAGTGGCTTTATCAATACAGATTCTAGGACATAATTGGAAGACAGTAGAACTATATACAGAAGAAGAGGTAATCAGTCCCTCAGCCTTGGAATTAGTGTGAAGATCACCGTAGTCGGGAAGAATCTGGAGCACAGGCAAGAAGGCTGGCGCTTATATACTGTTGTCAGGTGTTCTTCACACCAACTCCAAGGCTGAGGGACTGATTACCTCACCTTTTGTATATAGTTCTACTGTCTTCCAGTTATGTCCTAGAATCTGTATTGATAAAGCCACTGGATGGCGAAACGTCTACAATAAAGATACCCAGATGTTGCACATGTGTCTAATTTTCAACTAGTCACTAGTTAACGGTGCTAGTCGGACCGAAACGTTGTCCTATGCTCCAGTCTCCTAATTGCGGGTTAGTGTATACACGTATAATATTCCTGTATTTTAAATTATATTTGTACCACTGGACCTGAGTGACATATTTACGAGTAGTTTCCCTCACCGGCTCTGGAGTCACTATCACGATTACCACAAACACAGAGTGCATTAAACTGAAGAGTTACCACACAGAGGTTCCATTTACACTTAAGGTAGCATATTCCAATGATTAAAGACATAACACACACACACAAGCTAATTTCATTTACGGCTTCAATCAAAAGGGTCAGGCTCAAGAGCTGGAGCTTAACACCCACAAAAAATACACTGGATGCAAATGTACTGCCAACAGTAATGATGCAAAGCCACACGTTTCAAAACTAGCTTTAACTGGGCTGACGTTTTGCTCTGTGTAAAGCTTGTTTCGCAACCTGTGATGTTTCTCCACTGGTAAACGCACTAAACTAGAAGAACCAAAGGCGTATATTAACACAAAATATACGCATTTTTTCCGTACAAGGTAACAGCAACGTGGAAAGAATTAAATCCCAATATATTAGAGACTGACTTAGAGTACAAAGGTTACAAAAGTACTACGGCAAAATCTCATTAAGAGCGGACCCAAGAGGTGGAGCTCAACCCCAAAGATCTCTAAATCCCCAGTGAAGATACATTCGCTCAGTACGAGAGTCAACAAATTAATACATTTAATAGTTTGTCTCCCATTCACCAAGCGATGAATGACGCTAACGATGATTATGTCCGGGGTTCGATCCCCGGTGCGGGAGGAAACATTGGGGCATGTTTCCTTAAGATACCTTCTGCCCCTGTTTACCTACCATTAAAATAGGTACCTGGCTGTTAGTCGACTGGCGTGGGTCGCATCCTGGGGACAAAACTGACCCAATTTGCCCGAAATGTTCTGCATAACCAGGTGCTTTCTATGTAAAGTAAAAGGACACAAGTGCAACTAATGTGACATTTTATTGCGGCAACGTTTCGCTCTCCAGGAATTTTGTCAAGCCGTTACAAATAGTACAAGGACACAGAAGGTATATATAGGCTTAGAGTGAGGTGCAATACTAGTGGTGGTAGTAGTAGTAGTGATATAAGTAGTAGTAGTAGTAGTAGTAGTAGTAGTAGTAATAGTAGTAGTAGTAGTAGTAGTAATAGTAATAGTAGTAGAAGTAGTAGTAGTAGTAGTAGTAGTAGTAGTAGTAGTAGTAGTAGTAGTAGTAGTAGTAGTAGTAGTAGTAGTAGTACAATATGTTAGAACAATTAACTTACACATGAGTAAAAGGATATAAAGGCTATTACTTGGGAAACAAAAATAGGATAGACAAATATTTATTGAAGGGTGGATAGAGGCAGCCTATTTCAACGTTCATTCCCTGTAATGTTCTTGTATAGTATTAACAGGAGAGACTATGTGATGGCAGGGTTTACTGTTTTCAATAGTATGTCACTGATCTATATACTTTGTACATGTTCTTGTAAAAATAATGATTATTATTAATATTATTATTATTTCTGAATAAATGAGATGAGTGGAAGAGGTTATACTGGCTTTTTATAAATATATATATGAATATATTTTTTTCATCTCCCACACACAGATTCTGAGCATCAGTTGGGTGTGTATCATCATCAGGGATGCTGCTAGCTACCACCGCCTCATCGAGTAGTGTAACTCGAACCTACGCCTCACCCATATCCAGGCCTCCGTTCCCAAGATCTACACCCCCGCTACACCCACAGCCAGACCTCCACCCACGTCTAAAGTCACTCCCACACCCACGGGAATAAACCACTCCCACCTAGGTGTTCTTTCAGGAAACATCCGACCTTACTAATTCAAGTTTTAAAATTTTAACATAAGGTTTTATTTACATAATCATTTAGCATGAATGCAATATATATATATATATATATATATATATATATATATATATATATATGTGTGTGTGTGTGTGTGTGTGTGTGTGTGTGTGTGTGTGTGTGTGTGTGTGTGTGTGTGTGTGTGTGTGTGCGTACGTACTCACCTAATTGTGGTTGCAGGGGTCGAGACTCAGCTCCTGGCCCCGCCTCTTCACTGATCGCTACTAGGTCCACTCCCTCTCTGCTTCCTGAGCTTTGTCATACCTCTTCTTAAAACTATGTATGGTTCCTGCCTCCACTACTTCACTTGCTAGGCTATTCCACTTCCTGACGACTCTATGACTGAAGAAATACTTCCTAACATCCCTGTGACTCATCTGAGTCTTCAGCTTCCAACTGTGACCCCTTGTTACTGTGTCCCGTCTCTGGAACATCTTGTCTCTGTCCACCTTGTCTATTCCCCGCAGTACCTTGTATGTCGTTATCATGTCTCCCCTGACCCTTCTGTCCTCCAGTGTCGTCAGTCCGATTTCCCTCAACCTTTCCTCGTACGACATTACCCTGAGCTCTGGGACTAGCCTTGTTGCAAACCTTTGTACTTTCTCTAACTTCTTGACGTGCTTGACCAGGTGTGTGTGTGTGTGTGTGTGTGTGTGTGTGTGTGTGTGTGTGTGTGTGTGTGTGTGTGTGTGTGTGTGTGAAACACTGACCACTTAAGAGGTAAATCCAATATGGACGAAAATCAATCACTGAGAAGGAAAAAAGTTGTATACTTCGCTTCCTGTCTGCTGAAGAGGGCCTGTGATTGAGGCCGAGATACAGAGATCCTTCTGGGTAGCTAACTTTCAGTCCTCGTAGGAACAACCTGTCGAACTGTAATGGATGTTTCTGGTATTTTTACCGATATTATCAATGATTAAATAATTAAATAATTAAATAATTAAATAATTAAATAATTAAATAATTAAATAATTAAATAATTAAATAATTCTCATAATAAAGGTTTGGGTAAATGTTATTTTTTATCTTTATTAAATCCTTTATCACAGGTATATAATTATTTTGTTTATATATTAGTGTATGGAAGGAGGATGAATAAAATGAACAGGAGGAACTGGAGTAGGCTAAGAGGAAGGGAGGATAAGAGGAAGAGGAGGGGAACAAAGAGGAGAGGTACAGAGGAAGAGGAGGGGAGAGTAAGGGACAGGTAGCAAGAGAATAAAGAAAAATATTTCAAGATATAGTTTGTCTGTCTATATCATCCTCTTCCTTTCCTATTCTCCCTCGCTTCCTTCCCTGTCTCCTCTTGCCCTTCCTTCGCCCCTGCTACCCTTCACTCTTCCTTCCCTCCCTCCAGGGTAACCATCATCAATGCAACATAACACTGATCTTATCATCAATAATAACACTGGAGTATCACTAACATCAGTACTGCTGCTACTCTTGTGAACTTCCTCTAGTACTAACCCCTTCCCTCTGCTACTATCCTTCTACTGCCACTACCTCTCCACTGCTACTTCCCGTGCTACTAACTCTCCCTTTGCTACTATCATTCTACTGCCACTACCTCTCCACTGCTACTTCCCGTGCTACTAACTCTCCCTTTGCTACTATCATTCTCACTGCCACTATCCCTTCTAATGATACTTTCGTTCCTTTATAACTACTCCTTTTCCTTCTGCTTCTGTTCCCCTGTCATTACAAGATCAACCAGGCTGTGATGGATATGTAGAGCAGCGGGCCTCCAGCAGCAACAGCCTGATTGACCAGGCAAGCACCAGACGAGAGAAGAGAGACTCTCGAAACTCATCAAGGTATATCGAAGGTACCATTCCGGTAAGGTATACTGAACACCGTGGTATACATCTTAAACTACTGTACACCTGCTCACCCGACACCTCCAGCTGCACACCGCAGCGTATATTACGCTAAATCCAGTAGTGACACCTGTATATATGTACACCACGACGTATGCTGCGTAAAACCCGCTCTTGATGAATATACATATGTACGCCACGGCGTACAGTACACACAACGCACAAGAACTTACCTGCTGATGTCCTATGCCAGGATAACGGTGAACAAACATACCTGCAACAAAAACACAACGGTAAAGAAGGGTTATAACGGTAAGGGAGGGTTATAACGATAAGGGAAGGTTATAACGGTAAGGGAGGGTTATAACGATAAGGGAAGGTTATAACGGTAAGGGAGGGTTATAACGATAAGGGAAGGTTATAACGGTAAGGGAGGGTTATAACGATAAGGGAAGGTTATAACGGTAAGGGAGGGTTATAACGGTAAGGGAGGGTTATAACGGTAAGGGAGGGTTATAACGATAAGGGAAGGTTATAACGGTAAGGGAGGGTTATAACGGTAAGGGAAGGTATTTAGGCCATATGAAGACGCAAAATATTAAAATATAAAAAATAGCCTAGGCACTCTGAAGATGTGAAGGAGTAATATGCACTGTAGCTGCCAAAGGCGGATGGATCAAGCATCAGGCTACTGAGTGCTAAGCTGCTACACTTCAAGGAACGTCCATCTTTTCCCTTGAAAACATGCAAGGTAAACATCTAACTAAATTTATATTTGTAAAAAAAAAAAACCTTTTAAACACCCGAATGTAAATATGACCAGAATACCACAGTGAAAACAAATATCTGAGCGTTTTCAGGAATTTACACACGGCATTAGAGAATCTAATTCCTCCAAAGATGTACTCATTGAGGTTTATTTAGGCACAGGTACAAATAAATATTCAAGGCCTTGGTAAGGAATAACCCTTTCATTTTTTAAAATACCCTGTAAACCCGCTACCCCGGAAACCCCCCGGGTTGCCAAAGCCCAAATTTGCTTAAAATCTTTATAATTAAATTTTTTAAAAAAAGCAAAAAACCCCTCTTTTTTAAAAAAATCCCCACCTACGAAAAAACCAAAAAATTATTTTATTTAAGGGATAATTTTAAAAAATTAACAAAAAAACCCGGTGGGGAAAACGGGGGTTTTGGGGGGGGGTTTAACGTAAGGGAAAGGTTTCTAAGGGGGGGGTTTTTCGGGAAAGGGGTTAACGTAAAGGGATGATGGGGGTTATAAGGTGGGGGGGTTTTAAACGGGGGAAAGGTTTTTTTCCGGGAATTAAAATATTTAACAAAAGGGGGAAATAAAAGGTAAAAAAAGAAGGGAGGTTTTGCTATGAACCCAAAAATTTAAAAATGGAAACCCAAAAAAATTTTTTTTAAAAAAAATTTAAATAAAAATTCCCAAAATGTAAAACAAACCGGGTCAGGTAAAAACACTTAGGAACAAACCTCTTTTCAAAAGGGAAGGTTTGTAAAAATTATTTTAAAAAAAATTTTAAACCGGGTGGGGCCAAATCAAGGAATTAAAAACAAAAGAGGGTTTCCAAAGGGGTTTTTCCCCCAAGGGGGTAAGGGAAACCCTTTTCCCAAAAAAGGGTTTTAAGTTTTTAAAATTTCCCCCCAAAAAATTCTTCCATTTTAACATTAGGTTAAAAACATTTTCCCCCAAACAGGGTTTATTCAAGTCACGGGATTTTCAATGGTTTCTAACAAAAACGGGTTTCCCCAAAAATTCTTTTTAAAATTTTGAAAACCCGGTATGGCACCACTACCAATTTTATTTTTCCACCTTAGGGGAAAATTTCATTTTGCCCAAAAACCGGGTTTAGTTCAAATGGGATTAACCCAACAAGGGGAATTGCCCAACTTTCTTAAATTCCCCTTTGTTTTAAAAAAGGGTGTGAAAAAACCACAAAACACAAGTATTCAACAAAAAATTTTTTTTTTTGTTTTTTGGTGTTAACAAAGGGTTGCAAAGGGGTTTTGTAAAAAATGTTTTTTTTCCCCTTTTTTCTGTTAAAAGGGTATTTGGGTTTAAAAAATTTTTTTGTAAAAATTTAGGAATTTTTAAAACGGGGGTGTGTTTAAAAGGGGCCCGTTTTTTTTCCATGGGTTTTAAATCCCCAAAGGGTGTAAAAACCGATGCCCAAATTGGTTAAAAAACCCGGGTATGAAAAACTGGCTTTGAAAAACCCCCTTGTTTTTTGGGTTTTTAGGGGGAAACGGGTGTCAACAAAAGTGTCAAACCCAGGGATGCCCACAAACGGGTAAATTAAAACGGGATTTGTCAAAAACGGGTGTTAAAACGGGTATTCAAAAAAAAGGTAGTGTAAACGGTAGGTGCCAACCCGGTAGTGAAACAAACGGTATGAAAAAACCCGGGTTTGCAACACGGGTAGTTCAAACCCGGGTTTTGGTAAACCCGGGTAGTGCAACAAAAAGGGTAGTGCAACCGGGTAGTGTAACAAACGGGTAGTGTCAAAAAACCGGGGTAGTGTCAAAACAGGTATGTCAACAGGGGGTGTGTCAACGGGTATGTCAACAGGGTAGTGTCAACCCGGGTAGTGCCCAAAAACGGGTAGTTAAAAACCCCGGGTGTGTCCAACACGGGTAGTGAAACAGGGGGTAGTGTCAACCGGGTAGGTAAAACCCGGGTGTGTCAAAAACGGGTAGTGAAACGGGTATTTTGTGAAAAACAGGGTAGTGTAAAAAACACGGGGTGTGTAAACAGGGTTTGTGTCCCGGGTAGTGTCAACCCCGGGTAGTGTCAAAAAAGGGTGGGGAAACAGGGGGGTGTAAACCCGGTAGTTTAAAAACCCGGGGTTTAGTGTCAACAAGGGTTTGTGTCAAAACAGGGGTATGTCAAAAACCGGGCGGTTTTCAAACGGGATGTCAAACGGGGTATTTTCAACACGGGTGTGTCAACACGGGTAGTGTCAAAACGGGGTGGCCCCGTTTCAACACGGGTAGTGCAAAAACGGGTAGTGCAAAAAAGGTTTAGTGTCAACAGGGAGTGTCAACATGGATTTCAAAACCACGGGTATTTTAAACAGGGTAGTGTCAACACGGAGTGTAACAGGGAGTGTCAACATGGGGTGCAAAAAAAGGTGTTTTTCCCGGGTATGTAAAAACCAGGGTAGGGTCAACGGGGGTAGTGGCCCAAAAAAGGGGAAAAAGGGTGTCACACTTGTGTCAAAACGGTATTGTCAAAAAGGGTGTGTCAAAAAGGGTTATGTAACAGGGGTAGTGTCAACGGGGGTTTTGTGCCAAAAACGGAAATGCAAACGGGGTGAAAGGGTAGTGTCACAGGGGTGTGTAAACAGGGAGTGCAACAGGGTATGCAACAGGGTAGTGTCAAACGGGTAGTGTCAAACGGGTAGTGTAACAGGGGTGTAAACCGGGGGGTTGTCCCCCCAGGGGGGTAGTGTAACAGGTTTTGTGTAAACACGGGTGTGTAACCGGGTATGAAAAGGGTATGTCAACCGGGTAGGTAACAGGGTAGTGTCAAAGGGGGTTGTGTCAACAGGGTATTAACAGTGTCAACACGGGTAGTGTCAACCGGGTTTTGTCAACAGGGGTAGTGTCAACAGGGGTTAGTGTCAACGGGTGTGTAAACAGGGTGTGTAAACCAAGTGGGGTTTGTGTCAACAGGGTAGGGTAAAACAGGGGTATTTGTCAACACGGTGTGTCAACAGGGTAGTTCAACGGGGGGTTTGTGCAACACGGTAGTGTAAACAGGGTAGTGTCAACGGGTAGGTAAAACACGGGTATTCAACGGGGTAGTGTAAACACGGGTAGTGTAAAACACGGGTAGTGCAAAAGGGTAGTGTAAAACACTAATTTAAAAGGGGTTCCCAAAAGGGTGTGTCAAAACGGGTGTGTCAACAGGGGGGTAGTGTCAACACGGGTAGTGTCAACAGGGTTGTTCAACACGGTAGGCAACAGGGTAGTGTCACAGGGGTTTGTTCAACAGGGTAGTGTCAAACAGGGTAGTGTCAAAGGGGTAGTGTAACAGGGGTAGTGAAAACAGGGGTGTGTCAAACGGGTAGTGTCAACAGGGGTAGTGTCAACACGGGTAGTGTCAACAGGGTTGTAAACACGGGTGTGTCAACACGGGTATGTCAACAGGGGTTGTGAAAACCGGGGGTATGTAAAA